GTGCTCTCAATATTTATTGTTAACCGCAACTTTATAATCGAAGACCAAAGAGGCGACATTCGTAGGCTAGAGTCTACAATTTGTGCTCGTGTCCCACGTCTTACGACTGGCAATACTTGTCTAAAATCGCCTCCCAGAACCATTATCTTTCCACCAAAAGGAGTGCCACCCCAGTGATATCTTGCATTGTCCGATCAAACGCCTCCACCACCTGTCGCTTTGCCATCGATGCCTCATCCCATATGATTATTTTTGCAAGCCGAAGTAGTTGAGCGGTACCGCTTTGTTTTTGGATTCTACAGAATGAGTTATTATCTGGAGTTAGAGGAAGTTTGAAACGCGAGTGAGCTGTTCTCCCCCCAGGCATGTTATTAGCCGCAACACCCGATGAAGCTGTGGCGAGTGCAATATGACCAAGTTTGCGTATATTAGCAAGTAAAGCTTTGTACAGATATGTTTTTCCTGTTCCGCCAGGACCATCTATGAAGAACACTCCTGTACAATCAGTACACACATGCCTCATGATCTCATCATATGCATATTTTTGTTCAGGATTGAGAAACTCTTTGGCACGCAAATGGTCATCTTCCACAATTATAGAGCATTCTTCTTGTACCTCTCGAAAAACTCCAGACTGAAAATTCAAATCGGTGTTTACAGTCGGGAGATCAAAGTTATCAAGCTTGTTACCCATAGATTGTAGGAATACGCTTATGTCTGTAAGGACCATATTTTGTACTCGATTGACATTATCGTATTGTCTACTATAATCTTCGGAGAGAGAATTGTAGTGGGAATTCCATATCTTGCGAACATCTCCAGGATCACAAAAAACTAATATCGTTGCAAACAACCTTCTGAGAGCATTTGGAAACTGAAACAAGGAGGCCTCTACAAGACACTGCGATAAACTATCATCTGTCTCTATTAACCCTCTTTCAAGAGCCGCTTTTCGAAATGTGGGATGTCTTACGTTATTGACTGTGTACAGATCTTCAAAACATGTAGGACCCCTAACATGACATAATAACACACGTAGATAGTATCGCTCACCTTCAGCAGGATTTGCAGAAACCAAACGACCAACTGCTCGTGATACTTTTCGAGGATTCCATAGACGCGATTCTTTATTCCATGTGAAGTGTTTGGGAAAATCTTTGTATAAATATTCTCTTGCATTAACGTTATCTTTATTCATCTTGAAAAATGCAGTCAACATTGATCTCTTATCTTTCTCCCTCTCAACAACTGATTTCATTGCATCATCATCAGTGAACCTAACCAACTGTTGGTTTGGAAGATGCAATTGCAAAGTGATCACATTAGGGTGGATTTGATTAAGAGAAAAGCTAAAAATTCGCCATACTGCTTCTGGAGCGGAGACGTATCGTGCATCCTGAAAACGTTTTATCTCATTGATAACAACAGGTTGTGCATCTGGATCAATATGGATAACTTGCTTGTCATGACCCTTGTAAATATACTTAAAGATGTATTTCACTGATGTTATACTCGAGCAAACCTCAACATTTAGATGGCAGTTGAACATCATCAACAACTTTGGGTTATATGGGACAACCCATCTATTATCCATCATAATACCTTGTTTATTCACAGCAATTCCATTATCTCTCCTTCGATAAACCGGATATGTGTCCTTTCCTTGTGTTGTGGCTTCGTTGAATTGTCGAGGGTATCTAAAACGACAGGTTGGTGGATCACCTTGCATACAAGAACATTTTTTGTTTAATGTACCACAAGGACCATGTATCATGTGTGATTTGACCAGATCGTGTAGTATAGGATACTTTGTCGGGTTTGGAATTTCGGCACACACATACTTGTCATAATGGTCTGTATTGGTGAGCTTCCATTCAGGTTTCATTATTAAGAGAAAATGAGCATGTGGTAAACCACGTTTCTGGAACTCTATTACATAAACATATGCACTCACCACACCAAGGACGTGCCTCTTCAAGAGTTGTTCCTTAAGGTCATGTAACTTAGCACGAAAAACTCTTGCAACCAGATCTGGTCTATCTTGTGCTGTTTGAAAATGAAGTAACTCATTTTGGATTTCAGGCCAATTCGGATTGCACGTTATTGTAAGGAATATATCAGGTTTCCCTCCATCTTGAACTAAAGCCATAGCATCGAGAAATCGTCGTCGCATGTCACGAGGACCTCCGATGAAACTTGCTGGCAAAACAACACGTTGCCCAATCATACTTGCTTGTACCTCACCGGCATTGACACAATCCACAACACCTTGGTATAACTCCGCTCTTATTGTAGATTGGTTTTTTCTACAAAATTCCAAACGCGAAGTCTCAATCTTGATGTAGATATCTACCACAAATTGTTGTAATAATCTCCCTCCTAACATAATTACGTTCAAGTTTGATCGAATCTGCAACTTGTAACAGTAGTACTCCCGCATAGTTACAGTTTTCCTACCCGTTCTTATATCAGTCTCTACATAATGATTAAATTGAATAAATTATATCAATTTTTACATTTGTAAAATTTAACAATATTAAAATTGTGGCTATGCGTACCTTCTAGATCTTCATCGAAGATTTGGTCGTCATTAACCATCTCATTGAATGAAACCCCTTGCCTTAGTATGTTAGAATGCCATCCAGGCTCACCATTTGGAAAGAATAAAGGATAACACAATGGGTCATAACATCCCCAATAAGATTGAATTGTTTTTGGTTTGTCGGACCTTCCATATACTATAATACTTCTTTTATATGCGGTTATGTTGTCATTGCCTTCAATCCAAATACCAGCAACCTGTGAAATTATACAATAGAAAAAATATGATTAAAACTGGTACGTAATTTGCATAGTTATATTTAATACATGAAACATCTTTTTTCTCAAAAACATATGTACATAATTAATTTCAAACCTCGGATGTGGTTGGCCGGTTGTACACCCTTTGGTCTAGTTCTACTGATGCATTTAAAGTGACTCTGTAATTGTCGAGCGGTCCTAGATCAGCAAGGCTACGAAATATTGCAACGTATGGGTTTGTAGCAAGAACGCGAGTCAAAATTTCAACAATTGGTTTAGCAAGATTCTTCCATTCGAGTCTATTTGACATCTCAGCTTCAACATCGTAAAAATACAATTGTAAGAACTTAGGTTCATCCTTTTTCCTTGGAACTAACTGATCGATTCTATGGTATATCCCTCCATTCACACAAAAAGTGTATACCCCAGATGTCATATTGGCCATCGATTCATCCACTTCTACGCCCATTGATGCAAATGAATAGTTGGTGTTGTATGCACGTATATTCTTTCTAAACAATTTGCCTAATTTTGTTTCTGAGGTGAAAAGATTGTGTAATTCGTCAGGAATAGATGAGTCTGCCAACTTTGTCTTTCCACTCATGCAACAAAAGCCAGCAGATTCAAATTGTAGTCGTTTTGCCCCACAATATCTACATATATCATTGAACTTCACCACACGATGTTTTTTACGGATACCGGCGAAAACAAAACTATATGGATCATCCGAGATGCTACCATTTTGTACTGATGGAGTGACATTGCCATGGATACAACCTTGTGGATCTGTAGACATTTTATTCATTAGTTAAATGTAATATAAATAAAATTAAAATAATTACACATAATTATTAGCCAATATATATGATATTTTTCGGTAAAAATCAAATACTGACCTATTGATGTTGAAATTTGAGTTATCAATTCATCGCGTGGAGGTAGTATTACGTCAGGCTGACTTTGAATACCTACGTATAAACAAAAATTTCTCATTAAGAATGTAAATTATGAAAGATTATGGTTAAATGTAATGTTGTACTACTTAGATTGTAATATGATAACTTCAGACATAGTTACCTGGTTTTGTTATGGTTGGTTCCGTCTGACGTTGATAAGGGTTTCTATTATAAATCAACTTTTTTTGACCAAAATCCATTACACATGTAGGAGATGCATTGGTAATATCCACCAGATTCCTATTTACTGTTGGCACATTTGACAAAAATGTTGCGTTTTGACTATTTCCTTCCCCATTAGCTATTCGTCTCATTTTGTTTTTCTCCTTTCGTCGTTCGTAACATGCCTTATTATATGCTTTTCGTTTTTCTGCAACATTTTTTTAAATGAAAAATGTATAACGATGATATACTAATAATGATTGTAAATATGTGACATACCTTTTGTATTTTCTGCATCAATTTGGATAACATTATTATGTTTATTTTCTTTACCGTCAAACCTCATTGCAAACTGTAAAACACACAAAAAAATGTATACTTTATTTTATACATAACAAATCAAAAAGTATGATTATTCAAATACGAAATTTATTACCATTTGTTTTTGTTATAATAGTTTAGATCAAAACCAGATTTTATTTATGTGTTTCTGGTAATGTGAATGGTCTATAAGGAGATGATGCTTGAGTTGCCGACATATATTGGTTTGATGATACTTCTTTTCTTAGGTGAAGCTAATTACTTTGAAACACGTTGCATCTAACTAAAAAAATACTATAAATAGTAGACTTTTTCATCATATAGTACTTGAATAAGAGATAATTTAAAGTTAAATACACATACCTGTTTGATTTTGATGAATCCGATAGAGCAGATGGTTTTTGTGAAGCCGATAGAATATATGTAGTTTATGCATGTACAAAGGAACACAAAGTGAGTGTGAATGGTGTATAATCGAGAAAGTAAAAATCGTAAATAGTAAACATACGCAGTAGCAGACTGTAGAACCGATGAAGCCTTCTTATATGTTAAATTATAATTATAGAATATGTTTGCAATTGGCGCCTATGGTTCATCTACTACGCAAATATCTCTCTCTCTCTCTCTCTCTCTATATATATATATATATATATATATATATATATATATATATATATATATATATATAGGTTAAAAGTTTGTTATGAAAGGATTAGATATAGTTCATACTTATGTGTATATTTATAATAAAATTTGAAAATTCGTAATCCATTTTGATTTACTTTTATCTTATTAGTTGAAAAGTATTCAAAATTATACCGGGAAACAAAATAAGATTTTTTGTTTTGAATTGGTTTTACATGTAATTCAATTTTAATTATTATTTTTGTAGATTCTTAAAAAAAAAAATAGGAATTGCATGAAAAAACGTATAAAATTCTCTTACTTTTTCCTTGTTTTTTAATACAGGTCTAATAATTTAATCAGAGTTGGAAGTGGATACAGTTTGATGGACGAAAACCAGTTATCACTGAAAAACGATGAAGTAGCATATAGCTTTAATTATGGGTATGAATTTTTTATTTTTATTTTAGTAACCTATTTGGTTTTTTAGCATTTATTTATTTTTTTAAAATTTTAGTATGAATATAGGTTAATCCAGTTGGAAGTGGATGCAGTTTCATGGGGATAAACACTTATTACTGAAAAACGATGAGGTAGTTGATCGAGAAAGGATAGAGGTGAATATCGATGGATGTGGATTCGCATATGAAATCAATTGTGTTCGCATCTATGAAATCAGTTCGCATATGACATCAATTGAGTTCGCATTTGGTTTTGTGGGTCAAAACAGTTCGCATAAGAAGTTCACGATTTGTTGTTTGAGGTTAATTGATTTTGATTTCGCAAGCTTGGAGTCGGAGATCTGGATTGTGTTCGCATCTATAGAATGCGAGGAGAATTTAATGGTGATATTCAGTTCGCATTTGGTGACACAAGTACGTGGTTGATGATTTTTGGTTGGTTCGCATTTGAAATCAGTGGGTTTCGCATTTGGGTTCGTATCTGGGTTTCTCAAACAACTGAAATGCGAATATGAGACAACTGATTAATTTCTCAGTTAATGCGATGAAATGCGAATGAACTCAAAGACGGATGGATGCAAGATGCGAAGAATTTGAATGAAAATGCGAAGTTTTTAATGTATAAATGCGAATTGGGGAAGAAAGCTAAGAGTTTCGCATTTGGCCCCTGATCTTTTCAAGAAATAATATAAGTGGTCCAACTTCGCAAAATGGGGTCATAAAAAGACAAAAGTGCAGAATTTTCATTTCGCATCCCTGTAGTCTTCGCAAAATGGAAAATTTTACCCAGTTCCACCTTATAAACCCTGCTATAAATCCCACTGCCATGAAGTATTTCCCTATATATATATATATATATATATATATATATATATATATATATATATATATATATATATATATATATATATATATAGTAGTAAGTCAAAAAGAAAATAAAAACACCACATTCACGAATGAAAAGTTAACAAATTAACAAAACCAATAATAAAACTTAAAACTGATAAAAGATATAATGTGGTAAAACCATATGTGTTAAAAGTTCCACAACTGAATTGAAAACACGGGAATTAAAAAAGTTTTCAAGAAAATCTTTTTCTAATACTCTCATCAATATCTAGCTCTAATCCTATCAGCTTCATACATTTGTGGTTCAACATCAAAGTCGGTTAAAACAGTAGAAACCAATAAATTACCTGCAAAAACATGAAACATGTGGCATAAAATTTAATAATATGTATTTACAATTTGGAATATGTTGATATTAATATAAATTATATACTGATCATATTTTTTAACTGACCCAAATTGTTGTGGACCAGCTTCATGCAAGAAACATAGAGTATGGATTTGTTGTATGTTGCAACAATAACCTTAATCATAAGGTTTGCTGGTACGTTATACAACAATAACTTTGTTACGTTCCCCCTATTAAAAGGTAATGCTGTTTAAACTCTTATAATGAATGATAATAAATTTAATAAAAAAACTATGTTGTTTTAAGTGTTTTTTGAATACATATATACTTACGTCTCATCTTGGAGAATTAACTCAAATGATCGCAGCTGTCTGATTCGATTGCCCCATACTATTCTTCCAACCACATCTAAAAAACATATTTTCTTGTTAAATTTATAGTAGATGATATAAAAATGATTAAAAAAAAGATATAAATATACCAACAAGCCTTCTTTTATTTGTATGATCTTGTGCAACAGTTGTGACAGTAGACACAATTGGATAAAGTGGATATCCACTGGCAAAATCGCTTGCTAACCGAGTAAAAGTTGTGGCATGGTTTATCATTATCGCCTTATCACTGGTGCAGATTTTGTACTGTTGGTACATTGGATTGTCCAAATAGTATTCATCAACTTGGAAATGTTGCACAGAGAATACATTTCCTTTCAGATTCATGTTTCGATATCCGGGCACTAAATGGCGAGGTATGATTGCTAATATTTTTTCTCTCTGGTGTAAATAACAAAATGGTAATGGTATTATTTACAAAATTAAACTTTTAATAGAAGTTGAATATTTTAATTGGAAAAAAACCTTACCTGGCGATCTATCATCCACAAGAGCATCCTGTTGTTTTCCATGTCCTCCCAAACATACAATACTCTAACACTTGTAATGTTCCACCATTCATATATTTGCCCCAAAGCAGAAAATTCATTAACAGTAGTATGATAAATATCCATTTCAACTGAAAAACACTTCAGTTAATAATTGCTATACTTGATGGTTTTTCTAATACATATTGCTTGTACTATGAAATAAAGTAAAAGTTCAATACCTGTTTGATTCTGATATAGCATATAGAACAGATGGTTTTATGAAATCAATGGAACAAATGGTTTGATGGTAAAGTATGGAAGCGAGATTCGTAATCTTAAATATGTATATATGTACAGATTACAAAACATGTTTGTTATTAATGGATGAGATAGATTTAATGTATATCATCAGTTTTTTTTTTAAATGACAATTTAAAAAATCCTAATCAGTTTGGATAGAATTTGAAGTGCTTATCTGATAAGCACTATGATAATTTCGAAGTTAGTGTTATCTTTTTCTAATTAATAATGATATAAACTGTAAAGATAATTTCGAAATTAATATGTTGACTAACATTGATCCTTAAAATTTGGGATATGAATGGTTTTGAGCGGGAAAATATTGACACCTGGGTAACCCTCTACAATAAATACCTATGTTTGCTTCTCTGAAATTCGATAATGACTTGATTCTTCCACCTGGGAAGAAGGTATGTTCACATATTTTTTGTTTTCTCTTTTGATTTAATTGTTACGTTGTAACTAATACTACTTTTGACATAGAAAAACGGCCATAATGTCGAACTCAAGTAGCATTGTAAATAAGCAGGAATGTGATCAAATCATCCTTCAACTTTGTATGCATGAGAAACATGAGAAAGAAAAGAAAAGGGAATGGGCATTGCTAAATTGGAATTGGGATGAGGTTATTGATATTCTAAGTTCTGAAGATGAAAAGCTGGATGATGAAGCTGTGGAAAAGTCTGACACATTAGATTCAACAAAACCAAAAACTTTTCACCACCACTGAAGAGACCCCGTGTCAAAGTTCAAAGCCGAAACAGATGTTATAGGCTTCGTGATGAAGAAGATGGTGAATTTCCTGTTGATGTCGGGTAAGATCATTTGTACTTTGTTTTACAAACGATCATGAAAAACTGTTTTTTTTTATATATTTCAAGGATCAAGAAACTTATGAATGCCTTAAATTTTATTTTTTTGTCAGGAGTGGTTTGATTACTGTTGCAGCTGAAAACCAGCCATCTCAGGATGATGAAGATGCAGTTGTTAACACCTAAGTTTTTTTAGTAGATTTATTTGATGTTGGAATTTTTATGGTTGTCTTTTTTTTGGATTGTTTCAAATAAGTAACATGTTTTTATGGTGTTGTTTTTCCTTTGCTATTACATTATTATTTTCTGGGGTATAAATGCATGCCTTGTTTTTATGCCTTTTAAAAGGCAACCAATGTCACACATATGACATTTAATCAGAAAATCGATCATTCTTCAAATATGACATTTAATCAGAAAATCAATCTAAAAATGAGACATTTGGTGTTTATCGATTTTTTAGGGTCGACGGGTTGTATGAAAAGCGAAGGCTGAGTAATTGAAAATTAGAGGATCGATGGTTGCTACTAATTGCTTGTAACTGGTATTGGTTTCATATCGATGGATGTGGATTCACATATGAAATCAATTGTGTTCGCATCTATGAAATCAGTTCGCATATGACATCAATTGAGTTCGCATTTGGTTTTGTGGGTCAAAACAGTTCGCATAAGAAGTTCACGATTTGTTTGAGGTTAATTGATTTTGATTTCGCAAGCTTGGAGTCAGAGATCTGGATTGTGTTCGCATCTATAGAATGCGAGGAGAATTTAATGGTGATATTCAGTTCGCATTTGGTGACACAAGTACGTGGTTGATGATTTTTGGTTGGTTCGCATTTGAAATCAGTGGGTTTCGCAT